AAACTGATTATCTCAAGTTTTTTAAATCTTTTCTTCCTTTGAGTGGAAGACGTACCCTTTAAATTTAAAGCTCTACCACGCCTTCCTACCCCCTTAATTCAGAGGCCTCTGCTGAAAACCTTTGTCTTTACCACCAATTGATATTGAATTCTTAACATCAAATATGATCCTTAGATGCAATGTGTTATTATTGTTTTATTTTATATTTAGAAGGTTCTTTCACGGCTCGGGCAGTTTGAAGCTGAAACTTCAATGACAGGAAAAAAGGAGAAACGATCCAAAGATAATCATCTCCCTGGAAACACCTTTTAATCTCACTAATTAACATGCCGTGTCTTGTTTGACGATTTAGGGGGATTAACATGTTGGAACATTTTCTTTTTGTGCAGCCAGGTTTGGTTCCAGTGTGCCAAACTGAAAAACGTGTGCATACCGATGGTAACTGGCAAACAGCTTTAGAGCTGCACAGAGAACTTAACAGGTCCTGACACATGAGAGTGTTTGCAAACATCTTATTCCACTCAGGGCGAATCAGCCTGTTAAATGTTGAACTGGTCCTTTAAAGGCTTTAAATGCGATTTTTTTGATCCAGCAGGTGTCGCCCTTGAGCACCAGCATGAAACCAAAACAACTGGCGCTGCATTGTTGTGTTAGCATGCTAATGCTAGCGATCTTTATTATGCTGGTATCTTCACACTGCATGTAAATTTACCTGAAATGAGCGTGATCTAGAAACACAGTTAAGCAGTGAGTACAGTATGTTATTCTTCTTTTCTCTAGTCCCTCAATTAAACAACTTTTATACACGAGGGGAGGAGTCAGCCGGCCGTCCTGGCGATGTAAACAAACTGAAGATAGGACTCTGAAAACTCTGAAAACATCACAGACAGTCATGACTCACAGAGTTATATTCAGAGGATAGACTTGATTTCTACATTTAAGTGTGAAACATCACATATAAAGTATTTAAGTCTCGTATGAATGTGCAGCGCCACATCGCTATAACTTAAAAAGGATAACAGGACAGTTGTTGTTGTATAACTGTTGTATAAAAGTAATATCACCCAGCAGTACTTCTCCCCTCCAGAGTCTCCTGTGGACCAGGACCAGAGCCGTATCAGTTCAATGGCGAGGACGGGAGACAGGACGGACAGGAGACAAGACGGCGCTCCTAAGCGTTCAGCTTTTCCCGACCGGAAAAAACGCTATGTAAACACGCCCCGCGTCCACCTCGCGCAGAAAAGCGCTGGCTGTGCACTTAGGGGCGTTTGCATGCAGCGTTTGAGCATCCGTCCTGTCTCCATGACAACAGTGTGTTGATAACAGCCACTGTACGACCGACTCTGCTCCGTTACTTTTTACTGCAGGTTTTATTTTTTAGATTGTTTATTCCCCGAAGCGCTGGGCGCTGACGCCTTTTTCTCCAGACGTCCGCCTTGAAAACAAAAGAAGAAAAGACGCCGGCGCTCAGAAAAAAACACGAGGTGGACACGGGGCCTCAGAGTTTGTGGATGAAGGTCAGTTTACAGACGTTCTGTTCAGCCGTGTGTCTGTTCAGAGACGATTAGACACGAGAGGAAACACTGGAACAAACACGACAGGAAGAGAGAAGACGTCGGGTGTAGTGAGGACCAGGACTTAAAGACACCCAGCCGAGGCAACAGGACCCTGGACACCCTGAGGCATTGTGCTAATCATTAGCATTTAGCATCACAGCTAAAGAAAAGATTTTATATCCATTATTAAAAAACAAGTTGAGAAGCTCAGTCTGTTGGGTTGGGAACCAGAGGGTCACCGGTTCAAGTCCCGGTGCAGACCAAGCATGGAAGTTGGTGCGGTGGAGAGGTGCCAGATCACCTTCTGAGCACTGCCGAGGTGCCCTTGAGCAAGTCACCAAACCCCCTCCCCACTATCAGCTCAGGAGCGCCCACTGTGGGCAGCTCCATCACTCTGACATGTCTCCATTAGTGCATGTCCATAGCATCCTGTTTGTGTGTGTGTGTGTGTGTGTGTGTATACTTCAGCCTGTGTGTGTGTGTGTATACTTCAGCCTGTGTGTGTGTGTATACTTCAGCCTGTGTGTGTGTGTGTATACTTCAGCCTGTGTGTGTGTGTATACTTCAGCCTGTGTGTGTGTGTGTATACTTCAGCCTGTGTGTGTGTGTGTATACTTCAGCCTGTGTGTGTGTGTGTGTACTTCAGCCTGTGTGTGTGTGTGTATACTTCAGCCTGTGTGTGTGTGTGTGTGTATACTTCAGCCTGTGTGTGTATACTTCAGCCTGTGTGTGTGTGTGTGTATACTTCAGCCTGTGTGTGTATACTTCAGCCTGTGTGTGTGTGTGTATACTTCAGCCTGTGTGTGTGTGTGTGTATACTTCAGCCTGTGTGTGTATACTTCAGCCTGTGTGTGTGTGTGTGTGTATACTTCAGCCTGTGTGTGTATACTTCAGCCTGTGTGTGTGTGTGTGTGTATACTTCAGCCTGTGTGTGTATACTTCAGCCTGTGTGTGTGTGTGTATACTTCAGCCTGTGTGTGTGTGTGTGTATACTTCAGCCTGTGTGTGTGTGTGTATACTTCAGCCTGTGTGTGTGTGTGTGTATACTTCAGCCTGTGTGTGTGTGTGTATACTTCAGCCTGTGTGTGTGTATACTTCAGCCTGTGTGTGTGTGTGTATACTTCAGCCTGTGTGTGTGTGTGTATACTTCAGCCTGTGTGTGTATACTTCAGCCTGTGTGTGTGTGTATACTTCAGCCTGTGTGTGTGTGTGTATACTTCAGCCTGTGTGTGTGTGTGTATACTTCAGCCTGTGTGTGTGTGTGTATACTTCAGCCTGTGTGTGTGTTCATGAGTACAGAGTGTAAAAACTGAATTTCCCCTCACGGAGATCAATAAAGTAAATCTTCTTCTTCTTTAACACCAAACATGAACGGTTTCTTATAAACCTCACAGTTTAAATACAAACCAGAATCTGGGGCGCTGGTGGCTCAGTGGTTAGAGCGCATGCCCCATGTATGGAGGCTGTAGTCCTCCAAGCGGGCAGCCCAGGTTCAAATCCAGCCTGTGGCTCCTTTCCTGCATGTCATTCCTCTCTCTCTCTCTCTCTGATTACCAACTCTATCCACCTAACCCCCCCAAAAAATAAATCTAAATAAATAAATCTAAACCAGAATCTGTCAAAGTTTACGACACTTTATTGAATCATTTATCGATCATGGACGATGTCGAGTCTGAGCTGGATCCTGACTCGTCCACAGTCATGCTCTGGAGCGTTTCTTCATCTCCTCCCCCGGCAGAATCTCCACAGCCGCTCAGACACACATCTCTCTGCTCTCCTCCTCTGTGCTCGCTCTCTTCTGTCTGGAGGCTCAGGCTGACCTCGTCCGCGGCGTGCTGATGAGCGATCAGCACCCTCTGCCTCATGTAATCCTGAATCTCCCTCAGAGTGTTTGAGTGATCCTGAATCTCTCTCATCAGGTCTTTCTTAAGCTCGTCCACATGTTGGCCCGTCCTGTCCAGCAGGGTCTGGTACCCGTTGATGACCCCCTGTGAGTCCTCCAGCTGTTTCCAAGCTTCTTGGAACATCTTGTTCTGGACACTTGACTGGTTTTCGTTCTCCAGGATGGTCTCCTTTGAGTCCTCCAGCTGCTTGATGAGAGCTCCTCGCTCTGCTGAGAACTTCTCCTGAATGACGATGTGAGCCACTTTCAGCTCCTGGAACTCTTTCTGAAGCACCTTCTTCTTCTTCTTCCTGATGTCACTCCCCACGGCGGTGGTGATCCTCTGTGCGTTCTGAGTCTGCTGGTCACTGAGCCTCCACAGCCTCTCCAGCTCACACCGCGCCTCCTTCTCCTTTCTGATGAACACCTCTTTGACGTTCTTCTGACAAGCCAGCTCCTCTCGGGTCTTCTTCAGCTCCTCTCGGGTCTTCTTCAGGGCCTCGTCTCTGAGCTGCTGCCTCGCCCTCTGCTCTCGGACGACTCTGTCTCCTTCCTGCTGTCTGCCGTCCGTCTCATTAGTTGTTATCTGAACTTCTTTCTGGAGAGAATCGGCTCCGATGGTCTGTTTCTGCAGCTCTGTCTTCAGCTCCTCCAGCTGCTTCAGCAGAGCGTCCTTCTCCCGCTCGCAGTCTCTCAGCCTCAGGGCGGACTTGTGTGGTGTGAGCTCCATCGGTCTGTGCAGATGCTTTCTCTGTCTCTGTGTTGGAAAATGTTTTGTTTCTGAATGAAAAGTTTCACTTGTATCTTTTAACCTGCTGTTGTCATGACAACAACATCACTGCTGTTTGTGTTCTTTTTAAACTCTCCTACATGACTGTGTTCTTCATGAGCAACCTCTTTTGATAAAAAACAACAACTGGGCATATTTGGGATTCTTGTTATCAGTGTGGGTTGCCTGGCAACCAAAGAGAAACCAGGAAGTCACTGAGCCAAGTTTCAGGTTCCAGCTTTACAGGTGATGGGCAGGTGTTTATTTTAAAGTGTTGCACCTGTGCAAGGTGAGGTGTTTCACCAGGTGAGAAGTTACACCTGACTCTCTACTCTGAGCCAAAACAAAAAGGGTTTAGACGTCTCTGTTGTTATTTGACACTAGCTGTAGATGAAGGCTGTACGCTTTAGCTCTCCCCTCATCATGATGCTTTGTCACATCGTACAAACATTAGAGTTTGTGGATGAACGTCAGTGAACAGAAGTTATTTTCAGACGTTAGTCTGTTCAGAGACCACGAGAGGAAACTCTGGAACAAACACGGCAGGAAGTGATTTAAAAAAAATAACTTTTACCAGGTAGAACTTCCTTTTGCATTGCAACCACAGCGCAGTCCGTGTTGTGTCGAGTAGACTTCAGATTTGCACACAGGCGTTAAGTTATGAAGTATTCTGTGTCCTGCAGGTCAGGAAAGGTTCTCTCCTTTATTTCTCGTTTCACTCGTTTCATCTAAAGAGGAACAGGAGGAGACGCCGGCGCTGTGATTTGAGGGAGCAGCAGAGATCAGATTAGAGGGAGGCATGGTGGTCCCTCTCTGCTCCTGTATGCCCTGTGTGTGTGTGTGTGTGTGTGTGTGTGTGTGTGTGTGTGTGTTTTTGACACCTGTATTCTCCCGCAGGATCGTCAGGTTCCCTTGGCAGATGGGCGAGGAAAAGGTCCGCCGTGTGTTCCGGGAAGCGCTGAAGATCTGGAGTGACGTCACGCCGCTCACCTTCACCGAGGTCCACAGCGGGAAGGCCGACATCCGCATCGACTTCACCAGGTGAGAGGAAGTAGAGGAGGGACAAGATGATCTGAAAAAATAGAATTATAAAGGGAAAGGAGCCAAAAGACTGAGGACCACCTGGCGTTTTTTCTGGGCATTAAAGCGCTAGTTGTACGCGATCTTATTCTTTCAGTCACTACCCAAAGCTCATGAGCACAGGTGAGGGTTAGAACGAGGATCGAGCTTTACCTTCAGGCTCAGCTCGCTCTTCACCACGACGGTCTGGTACAACGCCACACATTACTGCAGAGTTAACCAATCCACCATCCATAAATGTGAGGACAGGTGGACATTTATGAAGTCGAAATTTTTCCTGAAGAAATGGACTTCAAAAATGTCAAAAAATAAATAAATTTAAACGTTAAAAAGGTCAAAACATTTTCACAAAAAACTATTTGACTTCAATGTCAAAATGTTTTATGATTTTTTTATTTATTTAAAAAATGTCGAACATTTTTCATGAAAAAAAATTGACTTAAAAAATGTCGAAAGATTTATATGAAAAATGTTGTTTATACGTTAAAAATGTCGAAACAACACCTGGAGGGCACGACCCCTCCGTTCTCCAGCAGAAAATCTTTGAGATTGAGTGCACATTCACACACAGCATGTCCAAACTGCATCTCTTATTTATAGAAGCTAAAACGATTACATCGCAGTCATCAACAACGTTGTGTTTAGTGAAACGTTCTTAAATGGTTGGAACGACGTCTAAAAGGCGGGCTGACCTCAGATCTGAAGTTTTGGATAAAACTAAACGTTTGAGTTTTGATAATCTGTGATGTTTTAAATGTCGACCTTGAAGTTCTCCATACTGTACGCTGTCTTTGTTCTCTCATGTTTGATTCACTCACCTGCAGGTACTGGCACGGAGACAACCTCCCCTTCGACGGCCCGGGTGGGATCCTCGCTCACGCCTTCTTCCCCAAAACGCACCGACAGGGCGACATCCACTTCGACTACGACGAGTCGTGGACCCTCGGGAACCACATGGGTGAGAGATCGTCTGAACAAGACAGATGTGACTCTTTCTGTTTGACATGATTACAATAACAGAACATCAGTGAGAGCTTTTCTGCACTCGTTTCAAAACTAAAACCTCATTTTAAAAGTTCTTTAAACTGCTAACAGGATTTGCTTGTTAAAATAATAGCAATAGTTTAATTTCGAGCCAGTTAGAGTCTCTTACAGCCGTGAAAAGGAAAATGAGCTCAAGCTTAAGCATCATATTCACAAACAATTATCACAACAGTCTCTCTTCCCTTTTTTACTTTTGTAAGTGATGCAAAAATGAATGACTCAGGGTATCATCTCAGGCAGCAAACTCCCCCCGTCTGCTCTTCAAGCAACTGTGTGAACCCCCCTCCCCCCTCCTCTCCCCCTGCAGGTACAGACCTCCTGCAGGTTGCTGCCCATGAGTTCGGGCACGTCCTGGGCCTGCAGCACTCCAGAGAGCCGGGGGCCATCATGTCCGCTTACTACTCGTTCTCCTACCCGCTGAGGCTGAGCGAGGACGACAAACAAGGCATCCAGTACCTGTACGGCGCCCACCCTCATGTGCTGCCTCCTCCCCCGCCGCCACCCCCGTCCAACCCAGAGACCAACGAGATCGTCACCAATGTGAGTGGAAACAAACTTCACGTGTTTGAATCGAAGATGACACATAAGCTAAAAATAACTGCTTGTTTCTCCGAGGATTAAAGTTACGATCAAAGATTTAATGAAATAATGATCACAAAACACAACAAAGCATTTCTGTGTAAACCCCCCCCCCCCCCCCCTCTCTATTTCAGCCCTGCTCAGAACAGACTGTTTCTGTGTCTGTACCTTTAAATATGTAAATGAGCTGTATCTGACCACGCCCCCTCTCTGGAAGGGCTTGGGTATACTCGGTCTTTCTCGCTCCATGTCCTATTGTTTACGGTGAGAAGGCAGACTCAGAGGGCAGAACAAACACCTAGCTGTGGGAGTGTCACCCACCTGGGGGAGGGGCTACTGCCCTTTGTGATGTCATGAAGGGAAAATCTCCAAACGGCCTGTTTGAGCACACATTTTCTGAAAAGTGGAGCAGGCAGAAGACGAAGAGGATGGACTTTTCTCATCATTGGGGGGTTTGTAGACGGACCAGAGGAACATGGTGAAGTGGATTTTAATTAAAACCGACCTCAACAGTTTGTCAATTCAGAGTTTCATCTTCTAACAGAGGTCAGTGGATCCCTACTCATCTGGAAGGGAAATACATTTGGAAGGGACTATTTTCAGCGATTGATTGATCTACATTTTGTGGCGTCCCTGGTGACTTTGATTCTCTGTTTGAGTCAGAATAAATGAGTGTGTGGGCTCACTGATGTGTGTTTAAAAGATTTCTGACAACAATGGAGCTCTGTGTCACAGCGGAGGAGAATATCCACAGGGGAGTATTTGTTTGTACGATCCCACTGGATTTGTTTTGGGAAGAAGAAAAACATGGCAGAGCGGCAGCTTTATACTGTGGCAGGCTGGAGGTTTCTGTGGTTTCAAACGCACATAAATATGAGTGAGCATCTTTGAAACCACATCTTACAGGAGGGTCGCTTTAAAGACAGTCTTCAGCTTTTTAGTCCCTCAGGAGTTCCTCTCAGGCGAGCGCTGGGGAAATCTTCCACGCATGATGAATCTGTCTTGGAAAATGTGTAACTGAGAAGTCTTCAAGTGAAAATCAGAACCCTCAGATCCTTCAGCCGTTAAAACTAAACTTTGACACTCCATTAAAAACCCCTCGTGTTTTAAACTCTGTTGTTTTTTTTCCCCACAGCCCGACGCCTGCCAGACGGACTTTGATGCCGTGTCTATGATCCGAGGGGAGCTGTTCTTCTTTAAGTCGGGCTATGTGTGGCGGATCAGAGACGGGCATCTAGAGAGCGGCTACCCGGCGCTGGCGTCCCGTCACTGGAGGGGGATTCCCGACAACATCGACGCTGCCTTTGAAGACAAGTCGGGAAATATCTGGTTCTTTCAAGGTGAGACGAGAGGACGGTGAAGCTGCTGCTTTGTGGTTTTTAAGGTTTCATTTGAGCGCAGGGTATCGCTCACCTTTAGACGAGTTTAAACAGGCGTGATTAACTGACTGAGCACTTCAGACTTCCTGTGAAGATACCTTTATCATTTACCTCCTTCCCCGTCTCTCTGTGCAGGTGAGCACTACTCAGTGTTCGATGCCGAGCGGCAGATCAGAGGGCCGGAGCCCATCAGGGCTTTAGGTCTCTCGGTGTCCGGGATCCAGGCGGCGCTGCGTTGGGGTCACGACTCGAACTACAACACCTACTTCTTCAAGTCGGGCAGCTACTGGAGGTTCAGCCCCCGGGAGAACCGCGTCGACTCGGTGTACCCGCGCAGCATGCAGGACTGGAGCGGCATCCCTGACGATGTGGACGCCACCTTCAGGGACATCTACGGTACTGTAACAAATAAGAGAAGTATGAAATATGAGAAGTCTTCAGATGGTATTTGGTGCTCGTACACAGACGTCACCAGTTTCTGCACGTTCTTTTATTCTCACCAGCAGCTCTGAAACACCTTCAGAAGAAACTTCATGTGTTCTGATATTCACTCTCTGTTTGGTCTCCGTGTCTCAGGGGTACGCTCACTTCATCCGAGGTCGACAGTACTGGAAGTTCGATCCTGTCGGGATGAACTCTCTGGAGGGTTACCCCCGATACGTCGGCATGGACTTCTTTGGCTGTCGAAACATTTGAATCCTTGAACCGTTTGAGAATCGGATGAAACGACTTTTGTGTTTTTTGTTTTTTTTTAAATGAAGAGCAGTTTTATGAACAGAGACATTTTTATTTTCATCCGGTTGATCAAAGAGGATAAACAAGACTTTCTCTGAATCTGTTCACGCTTTACTGAATCTCACCTTCTTCTCAGGAACGCTGAGGTACATTTCCTCAGACGTGGCACCTCCCGTGCAGCTACACTCATATTTATTTTGCACGTTTTTGTCACCGTGAGGCCGAGACCCCGGGCCCTGTACTGAACGATGTGATCTCACTTCCTGTCTTTGAGCCTGAACTTTAATGATTCACAGACGTCACCAGAACAGTCTTAAATGTTCTACTTGATGTTTTGACTCTCCTACATTTCATCTGTTTCTTCTTTGTCATCCTGGATTGACTCGCTGATCGTCGTGCGTCTGAAGAGTGACACCAAACGAGACGCTGCAGGACGCAGATTTATACATCAGCGGCTGTACTTTAGTTTAAATACTGAAACTTTAAAACAAGAAAAGGGCGACAAATCAGAGATTATTGATTGAAGGACGTTGTTTGTCTGGGTTTGAATCTATGAGCTCATGTTTTCTGACTCAGGTTGGCCCAGTTATAACCTTTAAAGGAGATCTATTCTGCTTATCAATATTTCAATAAAAAGTTACGACGATGGATGTCCGTACTAAACCTCTACAAAGCTTTTAAAAACCCAAGATATACAGTTGTTGGTGTAAAACCTGACGTCAGGTTCTGCCAACGTATCAGAGCAAAGCATGGAGCAGAGTTGTAGGACACGCCCACTCAGAAGTTCCCTGAAATCAGTGATTTTACTGACGTCAGTATCAGATACATAAGGAGGTTTTAGAGCTATACATCTCACAACGTGGCTTAAAAGGTGTCCCAGAGTGACATCACTAATGGTGAGAGTGAGTTTAATAGATCTCCTTTAAAGTGATATGAGGCCGGTTTGAACCTAGCTGAGGCAAGTGTTGACTGCTCAATCCTAAGCGCCAAACAGCTGAGAATTTTATTCAGATATAAGCCATATGAGTTTTATGTTGGACGTATATATCTTAATATAACACATGTCTCTGCTCTGATTGGTTGCAGCATCAAGAGACATTTCGTTCCATGGCTGCAGGAAACGCTCCCTGAAAAATGAACATGACCTTTGCTTTTGTGAATGAAGCCGTCTTCACACACATGCACACCTGAACATTTCTAGAGGATTTCAGGATGACTGCTCCTGAAATCCTCCTGATCTGGTTGTTTACACATGCACCTCACAGCAGGAGACTATCTGTATCAGACAGGAGGGGGCGGGGCCTCCTGAGGTAAGACGTGAAGTAAAAAGAGCATCAGAGTCCTCCATAGGACTCTATGATGAGAATATGTGTCTTTGTATCAGTGCTGCGTGTAGTTGAAGAGAATCTCAAAGTGAACTAGAGAGGAGAAGAACATCCTGGAGAACAGGAAACATGCAGCAGCAGGTTGATTAGAGCACGGAGATGGTAGCGGTGGCGTGCAGACAGTCTATGGTCGTGCAGTGTCACCACCCCCCCTCCCACTGACTCCAGGTGAATTCTCCTGATTATATCCTGCTGTGTTCTCACATCAGCTCACTCTGACTTTCTGCAGAATAAACACGAGGAGGCTGGAGGAGAAACTCGCTCTGCTGAGCCCGACTGTAAACTTAATCCTGTAAACCCAAAATAATGCAACACAGTGTACTGTACATCCAAGACTCAGCCGTTACATTGCTCCCTTTAAGGTCACATGGACAGACAACAGTCCTCGGGGTGTCTGAACATCTGGTCTGTATCTCCAGATGTTTCCTACTTTTCTCACCTGAGAGATGTCCTGCTTGTCCTACAGCTCAAAGTCCAATATGTGAAAACCACATCACTGTCTGTTTGATGTCACTCTTCTAAACGAGATGTTGTGAATCTCTCTCCAGCCTGCAGACATCTGTGCTCCACAGCGCCCTCTGTCTGCAGCATCTTCCCCCTGCAGGAGAAGTGTGATGTTTCCTCAGAGAACATTTTGTCATGAAGTTATCTACATTGTTTAAAAACATGGTGCTCTATTCAGGTTGACTCAGTGATGCATTCAGGGACAGCAGCATCTGCTGCGTGGATCAGCGGTTCTCAACATGTTAATAAACGTCAGATTGTTTCTGCTGCTCAGACGGTTTTTATGAAGTTCTGAAGAACGTGTACTTTTACTTTTGATACTTTGAGCACATTTGACTGATTGAACTTCTTCACTTTTTGTTGGATTTTATGTTCAGGACTTTTGGAGTATCTTGATTCTGTGATATACGATATAGAAGCCCTAAGATGACGTGCATACTTTACTTTGTTTTCATGTGATAACGAGTTATTTGCAGTTATTTATCTTGTTTGCATAGAAAAACCAGCACTGGTACCTCGTGAAAACAAAATAAGTACGTTGTGACCTCGAGAAAACAACCAGAAATAACTCGTCATCACTGGAAATGTCCGCTCAGACCTTCCGTATTCCACCGCTGTTGGATCTTGTTAAAAAGATCTCAAGGACCTGTGAAATCTCATGTGACGACCTCTCCGCGGGTCAGTGCACACAGGTTGAGAACCGCTGACGCCGTGTCCCTGCAGCAGGTGAAATGTGAAGGCGTCTGTTCTTCAGGTGTTGTTTTCTCAGTGCAGGACGCTGACGAGTCGTTACGCTCTTCATGTCAGACGTCCATATTTCATATTAAAGTCAAAGTGTTCATCAACGACGGCTTGGAAAGAATATTTATACTTAAAGTGTGTAGGTTAAACTTTGTTGTACATACATGTCTTTTTTTTTTTTACTCTCTGTAACCTGAAGCCTGTTTGTTTACTTTCTAATAAAAACATAACCTTTCTACCAAACTGCTGCTTCTGACCAGACATTTACAAATCATTATTTATCTGTGCACACATTAACGCTCCTCTTTCCACTGTTCATCAGGTTTCCTTTTTTTTTAATCTCACAGACGTAATGACGGAGGAGCTTCCTGATTAAGCTGTTGTAGAATTGCACTACAGAAAGGCCGATAGAGACAACTTCTGGTTTTGGAAACTTACAATGTTTAATTACTTGACTGCAAATTGGCCAAATAAAGACCATTATGGTGTAGCTACTTTTGATTCTTGAACAGGTTTAATATAGATTATTGCTCAGGTTGACATTTCCATACAGGGGCTCAGTAGATGTTGACAGATGTGACAGATGTTACTCGTCATGTGTCTTGTAAGCTGCTACTCGGAGCCTGAATTCCCCTTAAAACACAAAGATTTAAATGGTTATGTGTGAATTCCCTTCATGTGTTGGATAAGAGAAGAGGAGTAAAGGTTCAACATTGTGATGAAGCAGAGTTAAAGCAGCGTCAAACAGAAACAAGCGGGTGAAGTGTCGACTTTGTATTTTCCACGTCTTAAAGCAGCTTGTGTTACCTGCAGGGAGTTTCTTTTTGTTGACACTCAGCAGTCTGCAGCAGCACCGCTCACATTCCAGCGTAATGATGTGTCGTGTGTCTGTGCGCCGCAGTCGCCCGCTCTGGGCTGTCTCAGACGGGTCAGCGTGCGGCGTTACGAGCTTCCCAGGAGCCGTGTGATGTTTTCATGGACGGTCGTAAACGCAGGTCTACGAGGACTAATTGTGCTGTAATGTCAGGACAGAGAGGAGTTCAGTGCGTCGTCAGGACGATAACATGGTCAGCTGACATTAAAGGAATGTCTCAGGGCGAGGAGTTTAAATCTGCTAAACAATAACTCTGACAATATTAAATATCTTTGAGTGTTTCAGCTAATCGTTTGTGGAGACTTGAGTTTTAGGAAAGGCTCATATAGTGAACATCAAATAGAGAGTGCTTTACATCTTCATGTTTTATAATGTAAAGTTTCTGATGGACTACATGTTCAATAAAAGACGATATAAAGGACGGATAAGAAGCTACTTCCACACCAAACGGACAATTACTCCACTCTTAGAACTGTCACTTTCCTGACATTAACTTGGAGTACTTGAAGCTTTTAGTTTATGAAGTTGACCAGGGCCGTCGAACGATTACACACTTTAACCACATTTTTTATGGCATGTTTGAAATTCCATTATTTTGCATTTTAAAATAAAATTGTCATGGTTTATTTTTAAAGTTTGTCCTGTTTTAAGCTGGGAGTACTTTATTTGAAATACAGTAAGGCCCTTCCTGTAGATGGAAGGTTAGGACAGGAAGTTTAGCACAGAAACAGGAAGTGGTTAGGGATCCCAAACTGAGGTCAAACAGCTCAAAGGAAAGGTAACAAAGGTCAATGTGTGATGTCATAAGGTCAATGTGTGATGTCATAAGGTGGACATTACTTTGGACTCGTCAGCTGAGCTGTCTGAGAGTTTGTTAAAGGTGACATCTCCTCCTCGTCCTCTTCAGTTTAAAGAAGTGTCAGAGCTCCTCCTGTGTGTGAAGTTTCTTGTTCTAAATCCACTCTGATCCTGTATTTGATCATGTCTATAAACCCCTCTATTTCAGCCCTGCTCAGAACAGGCTGTTTCTGTGTCTGTACCTTTAAATATGTAAATGAGCTGTGTCTGACCACGCCCCCTCTCTAGAAGGGCTTGGGTGTACTCAGTCTTTCTCGCTCCATGTTCTATTGTTTACAGTGAGAAGGCAGACTCAGAGGGCAGAACAAACACCTAGCTGTGGGAGTGTCACCCACCTGGGGGAGGGGCTACTGCCCTTTGTGATGTCATAGATTATATCGAATGGTTATTTAAAAGACGACAACACAGACGTTAAACTCGTTCACTTTTTTTTTATTTTGTAAGAATTATTAAAATGTACAAAAAGACAACAAATACAACAGAACAATATATTATCTGAGCCTGGTGTGTGTTCTTCTTCTCCCCCTGTGGTCATTAAACAGAGTCAGTGGTCAAAGTGAGGGAGCAGCTTCTCCACGCCGAGGGTCGGGAGGGAAACACGTGGAGGAGGGGAGGGAGGGAGGATTTCTACTCAAACAGAACATGATATTAACATTAATAAGAATCAAACCAGAAACACACACACACAGTGGACGTCTGACTGAGAAACCAGCAGAAAAAGACGTCCGCAGCATGATGGAAGACGTCTCGAGTTTGCCGGTGTTGACAAGAGTCATACCTCAATCAGACGAGCACTGATCCTGCAGGAGGCGCTGCAGGTGTGATTCTACCAGGCGGGCGCCGTGTTCGCAAGTCGCCTCATTCGCCTGAAGAGCAAACAGAAAACGAGTGTCAACACAAAGCTGGTATAGCCAAACATCGAGCTGAATCTATTTACTGAAGACAAAGAAGAGCTAAGAGGTCTTCAAAAACTCACCTGGTGTTCCTGTCCTGATCCCTGATCTTCTTCTCCATCTCTGCGTCTGTCAGCGTCTCCAGCAGGGGGCACCACTGGTCAGCGTCTCCTGTGTTTCTGATGGCTATCTCCACTGTGGGCAGCGGGTTCTCACTGCAAAACAACAAGAACGGGTTAGCTTAACTTTACCGCAGCGCTGTCTGCAGCCACTCTCTGCTGTGTGCCGCTCATGGTTGTCCTCCATGGTTGAGGCTCAGATTGGATATTAAACATGGAGTCACTTCACACCCTGAGACCTGCTAAA